GTGATATGTGTGAATGCTACATCTGCTGACGATTGGGTGTTAAATGTCTACGAGGAGTGAAACGATGTGTGCTGTGTGGTGACAAAAGAAAGTTGTGTGTTTATTGGGGATGTGCCGGTGGGAGAAAAGTCAGGCATAACCAAGCTCTGCGGACCCCTCCAGAGCCTGAACACCCTCACAGATTCCACGGGGCAGCCAGACAAAGCAGGCAAACCTGGCCCTCTCACCCAGGTCACCAGACTCTTACCTGAGAAACAGCAGAAACGGTGGTCTAGGGGGTGACAACAAAGCTGAGGAAAAGATGGAGGGCACTGAAAGCATGTTTCCTGGTCGGTTTCTCGGAGAACCCAGGAAGTGGGGTAGAGAGTAGGGAGGAAGCAGAAGGCAGGCCTAGACCTAAGTACGTGACTCACTTTACGCTCCAATCCCCATTCAACAGCTGAATAAAGAATTAGGGGAGACCTGCCTGCAGGCTCCGCTGGGCAGGGCATAATGCAAGGAAGACAACTCCTTGGGTGGGGCCCCAACCCCAAAGACACTGGGAATACCCACGTCTAGCCAGGGAATCTTTCTGTATGTCAGCTCAGCCAACAACATGGGGCTGGTCCATCCGATGTGGAGCGCCTCTGGGAGTAAGGGTTGGGCTTGGGCTGGCAGAGAAGGAATTGGGTCCCTTGACTGTCCCCTGACCTCCATGCCTTTATTCATGCTTCCCTCGCTCTCTCTGCCTGGCTGCCTCCTGATCACTCTTTAAGACTGCTCTGGGGGCACCTGGGTGGCTCAGTGGGTTGAGCATCCATCTCTGGCTCAGGTCATGATCTCATGGTTTGTGAGTTTGAGCCCCACATCAGGCTCACTGCTGTCAGTGCAGGGCCCGCTTCTGATCCTCTGTCCCCCTCTCTCTCTGCTCCTCCCCCACCACTCCCCGACTCGTGCCCTCTCTCAAAAATAAGTAAACCTTAAAAGGAAAAAAAAAAAAAGATCCAGCTGCCTCTCCTCAACCTGAATCCATCATAGTTTTCAGGGAGACCAGAGACTGTCTTTTCACCAAGCTTCCCAGGTGTTCTCAATTCTCTGCTCTTTCACTGAATGGCTTAGAGCAGTCACACCGGACAAGAGGGCCAAGGATCACTACCCACTGTGCACAGCCCTGTGCCAGGCATCTGTTTTCCCTGATCTCCTTAACCCTCAGGGCAACAAGTTTAAGAGAAGAGGAAGCAGAGGCTCGGAGAAGGTTCAAGGCAACAGTCTCTGATGCCAAATATGGGCCTGTTGCCTCCACTTACAAGGTTGGTTCTTTTTTTTTTTTTTTTTTAATGTTTATTTATTTTTGAGACAGGAGTGACACAGCACGAGCAGGCGAGGGGCAGAGAGAGAGGGAGACACAGAATCCGAAGTGGGCTCCAGGCTCTGAGCAGTCAGCACAGGGCCCAACTCGGGGCTCGAACTCACAAGCTGTGAGATCATGACCTGAGCTGAAGTCGGATGCCCAACCCACTGAGCCACCCAGGCACCTCGGTTCTTTTTACAATAAACAGAATCTCACTAGATTTCATAGGACAGGAATGAAGAAAGTATTTTTACCCTCCTTTTACCAAAGAGGAGGAAGCTAAAGCCCAGAAGGGGGAAGTGGGGTGCCAGGATTTACAAAGCTTAGTGGAAGAGCAGACACTTGATAAGGTGGCTCCAAGCCCTTTCTGTGCTCATGCCTCATCACTCAGGGTCAGACGTCGCCATGTTTCTCAGGTGCATGAGAAGCACGGACAACTTCAGCAAGGGGGTAGATGAACCAGATTGCGCCAGGATGGATGGGGGAGGGGGTGGGGGGAGGGAGGAACCAGAGAGGCAAATCCTGCTTCACTGAACTTCCACCCTCAGTGCAGGCCCGGACTCATCCTCAGCCTCCCACGTTCTTACTCCTCCCTCCACTGAGGCCCTAGGGAAGCGAGAGGGGCCAGGAGGCGGGGCCTGGCTGAGGCCACAGCCACTGGGGTGAGGTGCGGTGGGGTGGGATGGGATGGGATGGGAGCGTTTAGGTGACTGTACCACCAAAGGCAATGATTGACGCTTTAGGTGGTCACACTTCCTCTTAAAAGGGACTATTCCCAGTCTACACATCCGGAAGCTGAGGCTCAGAGTTGAACCCCAAATGCCAGATTTCTAGCCGTGCCTGTCTGGCTCCTCCGTTTCCCCTCTGCCCTAGGTGGTCCCACAGGCAGCAGTGACCTGCACAGTGGGGGAGGTGGGGGCAGTGGCTCTTTGTTCCCTTTTTCACAGCAAACCACAGGAGCGAAGTGCCTCAGCCAGTCTTTCATTCTCTCCGGGCCCTGCCGCTCCTCCAGTGAGCCTTTCCTGCCCAAAGACCCTCTTGACCTGCTCACAGATGAAGAGGCTGGAGAAGCTGTCACAGCCACAGCCCTGCCCTGGAGGCATCTTGGCTAACACTGTCTCTATCCAATGCCCAAAGCACTCCCCTCTGGGTGGGTGGGGGGTCATTACTGAAACAATTGCTCTGAACATGCTTATGGGAATGGGCTGGGATCTTGGCAGATCTTCCAGTGGGTCTGTGGCTACAATATGCCAGAAAGGAAATGGGAAGGCTTTAGTCCATCTGGGAAAATAGGATGTCATGGCTGAAACCCAAATTTCTTAATATGACTTTCTGATGTCCCTGGTCTCACTTCACCTCACTTCTGTTTCCAAGCATGGCATCAGTTACCTCTGGGTCTTTGCACACACCGTTCCCTCCAACTGAAACATCTTTCAAGTCCCACCCGACCTGTGACAGAAACTTAGTGGTCCCTCACAGTCAATCTCCCTTACTTCCTTCCTTGCCAACAAAACTTTCCTAGAAATAGTAGGTGTTCAGCCCCAAGGGACAAGACCTGGTCTGTGGCCTGCCCATTCTCCCTTGCTGTTTTCCCACATTTACAGTTAGAGGCGGCCACGTGGCCCATCTTCTAGAAAACGACATCTTTTAGGGAGATTTTTGCTTCCTGGATGACTTCTTTCTGCTTGGCAACTGGAATGAGGCGTGGAGCTACATATTCTTCTATGAAGATTCTGCGACAATAAGATGACAAGCCCTGCTGAGAGGATGGAGGGGAAGTGTAGTAAGAGCCTGGTTCCTTGGTAGCACTCTTGAGCCCGGTACTGAAACTGCCGGCCGTCAGACTTCCGTGAGCAAAATATACCCCTATTTGTTTATGCTAGTTATTCTTTTCAGCTGAAAACATTCCTGACGCATCAGCCTCTGGGTTCCAACTTTAAAACATCACTTCCTCTAGGAAACATGCCTTTGCTCAAGCACAGGATCAAGGGACCCCTCCTGCGTCCTTGAGCAGTGGACGCATCGTACCTCTCATGATCTTTGCGGTCGCCCGCTCATCCATGTGCCCCAGCAGACTGTGGTAGGCAGCAGGGCCCCATGGTGTTCACCATTTTATTCCTAAGCCAGCATATCTGTCGAATGCGTAAGACTGGGCCTGGCCCTCACAAGCCTGCAAAAACAGTTGAAGTATGACAACGGCATAACCTCTAAGGCAGGCGTGGGAATTTACACACACATCCTGGAAAGAGACGGGTAGCACTTTGCCTGTAGAAGAGATGGCTGCTGTCCCCTGCACAGGACAGTCTGCATCACCTCATGACATGTATCACTCTGCAGCATGATGGAACATCTCTCCCTCTCTGCCTTGGCCCACTTTCAGCCAGAGCCACATCCACCCACATCCTGTGCACAGATTCGTCCGTGGTTTGGACTGCTCAGCCGCACTTGGAAGGGCAGCGAGACACCCAGGCTTTTGTCCCCTCCCACAGGGAAGTAAATCTAACGTGCGGTATCTCTTTATATTACAAGACAGTGTGCCTTTGTGTTTATTGTACCTCTTTCCTTGTCTATAAAACATTGCTCAGGCGTACCTGGCTGTTTCAGTCGGAAGAGGATGAGGCTCTTGATCTCAGGGTTTAGAGTTCAAGTCCCGTGTGGGATGCATAAATTACTCAAAATAGGGGCGCCTGGGTGGCTCAGTCGGTTAAGTGTCCAACTTTGGCTCAGGTCATGATCTCACAGTTTGTGGGTTCAAGCCCCGCGTCGGGCTCTGTGCTGACAGCTCGGACCCTGCAGCCTGCTTCAGATTCTGTGTCTCCCTCTCTCTCTGCCCTTCCCTCATTCACACTCTGTCTCTCTCTCTTTCCAAAATAAATAAACATTAAAAAATTCAAAAGAAATTACTTAAATAAAACTTAAATTTTAGGGGCGCCTGGGTGGCGCAGTCGGTTAAGCGTCCGACTTCAGCCAGGTCACCATCTCGCGGTCCGTGAGTTCGAGCCCCGCGTCGGGCTCTGGGCTGATGGCTCAGAGCCTGGAGCCTGTTTCCGATTCTGTGTCTCCCTCTCTCTCTGCCCCTCCCCCGTTCATGCTCTGTCTCTCTCTGTCCCAAAAATAAATAAACGTTGAAAAAAAAAAAAAAATTTTAAAAAAAAAAATAAATAAATAAATAAATAAATAAATAAATAAAACTTAAATTTTCAAAATAAAATTTAAAAATAAAACACTGTGCGAAATCTAGTTAAAAGTCACCCAGTTTCTCCTATCTTCACATTTTAGGTGCCCTCTATTTCCCACCTCACATCCCTCCCAAGGGCTGATCCTGTCTCTCATAACCTGCAGGACGTTTGAGTATACACTGTAAGCTGGGTGCTTTCACACGTTATTTCACTCAATCCTTAAAATATCAGTATCTTCATTTTACACACAATAGTAATACTGGCAACACCCTCTGAGCACTGTGGTAGCTACCTTATATGTGCCACGGCAAAGCCTCGTAAAGGCTGACACGGCTATTCTATATTCCCATCCTGTACATGAACAAACTAAGGTTCAGCAATTAAGTGGTAGGGAGCAGGTGAGGAGCAGGTCTGCCGAACTCCAAAGCATTTCAGAGTTGGGCCAACGGACCCACCCCTGGAATAATACCTAAGGAAGAGTACATCGATGGTTAGGGTATAAAAATTTATTACATATACAGAATATTACCACTAATGAATGCAGACAGGCTAGGACAGAATGGTGGTGGGTGGAAGATGGCTAGCTCTTTGGAAAGTGAACAGGTTTGGGTGGCTCGGAGCCTCATGCCACACGGAAAGATCAGTCAGAAGGGAGAGCACATGCCACACACTGTCGGGAGGTCAGGGCATCGAGTGACTGTTCTGTGTGCCCACCGCCTTCCCTGTCTGATCTGGGGCTTCGAAGGACGCCACGCCCAGAAGCAAGCAACTGAAGCAGAGGGGATTCCTAAGGTGGCCCAGGCTTGTCTCTGAAGTCACGGCAACACCATTTTAAGCAATATGTTTAATTGGATGATTTCCACAAACTATACACGAGGTTTCTAACCATCACAATTCAGTGAAGTACAAAACATTAAGTTACGGGCTGTGGGAAGAGAAGGCGGCACCCATGGTGGCCCCTTCCAATCCTGGTTGGTCTAGGGGTGGGGGTGGGGTAAGGTTTCATTTTAAACTGAGCCCCTCATTTCAATGTACAAAAGAATTACTCTGATCGATATTAAATTGTATTGAAAACAAAATGGACTAAAAAGCAACTACTACTCTATGTTGGGGTGGAAATGGGAAGAGAGAATGAGTCCTTCGAAGCAGGAGGGGAGACAGTCGGGGGAAGGTTCTGTGGCCGTGACCCTAGGTGGTCACTCACGCTGCTCCATTTTTACTTTCGGTGGTCTCAGGAAGGTCCGATTTTTCTTCTCTTTCTTCCCCTTTGTATTTGCTTGGAAGTTCCGCCAGCTGTCCACACGACCATCTCGACTTTCCTAAGCACAAAAGAGGTTTGGGGCGAGGAAACTAGCTGACGAAAAGGGCCTGAACCTGCTCTGCCATCCCTGCAGCCCAGCCCTGCTCAGCCCTCTGGAATAATCCAAAAATAGAACAGAGCAGAGCCTTTCTTCACGCTTCCATGAGCCCACGGAAAGTGGCATCCCATCCCCAGAAGGCACGATCAGCTATAGGCAGGAAGAGGAGGGCAAAATGTGTAATACTCATCACAACATTTGCTGGAGATCGCAGGGCTAGATACTTAGCATGTGCTATTTCTAACCCTCACAAAAAGCTGCCCATAGTATGCAAAGTGCCACCACCATTTCACATCTGAACACACCAAGGCTCAGGGGTTAGATCACTTTCTCAAAGCCGTATGGACAGCCAGCAGCAGAGCTGCTCTTTCCACTGAACCTTCCTTCTGCCCCGCAAAACTTGGATGGAGGCTCAAAGCCAGCACAAGGCCTAGCCAGTGATGCCGGGAGGGCCTCCAGGGTCTCTCTCCTGCGTATCAAGAGCCCTATTCATTTCCTCTCTCTGCATATATGCAGGGAGACAGAAACAAAGTCATCAACTCTGGTTAGCCAATCCCTAGCCTAAGAGCTAAATGTTACAGAAGAAAAGACATCAGATGTTGCTCAATTGAGGAAATCGGCTGAGCACCTGAAGAATGTAACTAGGGTGTTAAAGAGGAATCAAGTTTAAAAGCCAGGACATCAGGGTCACAAGAACCTCAGATTTTGCTAGCAGACCTCTAAGAATGGGGCTACTCCATGATTACCCCTAAACTAAACGTGCAAAGCATTTTTCTTGAGCCCACTTGGCAGCAGTGCCTTCCATAATCTCTAACCGTTCAGGGATCCTCCTTGCTCCCGCCAAGGCTACAGAGCATACAGGCAGCTGAGCTAGGACTCATTCTCCAAAGCTCCTGCTCTTCCCCACGAATTCCCTTTCCCTGACTGTCTGCCCCAGTCAGTTCTGGCAATGCCCCAGGAACCAAGTTTCCACACGGGGAAGTTTTCTTACTCTGGAATGAGAATCCCTGGCCACCTTGGAAACTTACCTCAAAGTTTTTCTGCCACTCCCTTTCTCGTTTGGCTTTTTCTTGAGCTTCAATCTCTTCTTCCCTTTGTCGCTTCCTAGGAAGAAAACCAGACCAGAGTATTGATATGATACCTAGAGACTCTATTAACCATAAAAGTCATCTCCCCACAGAAACAAGTATATCAAGCAAATCAATTCCAAGCATATCAAGTAAACCTAATTGTAGATTAGAACATGGGCAAGAGCTACAGGGCAAGATACAAACATCCCTGTTACACAGACGGACATATATGGTTACCAAGGCCCAGCCAACAATAATCGTAAGTTACGGGCTCAGTCCAAAAGTTCCAGGCTCAGTCCGTGACAAAGCTATCTCAAGAACCCAGGTGACCCTACTTCAGTAGAACGACCATTATAATAGCAGAGGTTCTTACAAGAGGATCTCCGGACAAAACCCAATCCCAAAACAAGAACATTTCACACAGCCTCAACTACCAAAATGGAGTTACTGCTAAACACTAATAAACACTACAAAATACATAAATTCACCTCAAGATTTCTGAAAAGCCAGGGAAATCATACTTTGGGACAATAAGTATTTTGTAAGTGATTACACTGTTCAATAAATACTACATACTCACCAAAGCTGCAGCCACTAGTCACACAAACGGTTCTGGCCTCTGCCTATTTAACCCCAAGAAATCAGGAAGAAAACATATAGGACTCTTGATTAACAACTCCCTGAGGATAGGCCTATTCAATTTCCCAAAAGTCAGAGAGAATTTCTTACCCTAAAGATTCAAAAGTTTGGCTGTTTCAGATAACTATTTTAGACAGTCTCTTAAACGATACACTACATCATTCCTTGATTCGATAAACTCTTCATGAGGAAAATCCCCACAGACCAATTTTGGTTAATCTAGGTATTTAGATGGATTAAACGAATATTCTGATGTATACCTTTCGTGCATCTCTTTGGCTTCTCTCTCTTTCCTTTTAATTTCCAGCTCAGCAAAGAGTTTCATGGTCTGTTTATATACTGCTTGTTTGAACTACAAGAAAATTAAGAAAAAAAGAAAATAAAAGCATTTTACCAGCAACTTGAATCAAGCACTTTTAGATCGCGTCAAGATAAAAGCAGATGTGAACCAGCAAGGAAGAAAGATTTCAGAGAGAACTACTTAATGATGCTCTCTCCTGAGAGATAAATAACATAACCACCCATGAAAATTTTCCACTTTCACCATGCAGATGATACACAGGAAACTTGCTCTGCTAAAAAGCACGAAAAAGAAAAAAATTCGACTTGTTTATCATAACCATGTTGGAGGGCCCTTTCCTCCAAAGAACTCTGAAAAAATAACTTTCTTTCTTTTCACGAATATTTCATCATTACTCTGTGCTAGGCACCCAGCCAGGTACTATTAGTTGCTATCAAGCAGACCAGTCTCAGGAGTCTACTAACTATGGCAGGGCCACTGACGCTATTAGCTGTGTGTCCTCCACCACCCCATTATCTGTTCTCCTTCCACGTAAAGCCCCTTATCTTTAGGTATCTGGTCACCCACTGTAAAAGCCCATCTTTCCTAGGCTTCCTTGAAGCTGGTGTGGCCATGGAGCTTAGCCACCAGCCAACAGAACGGACGATGCAGCAATTTCCCGGAATGTTCTTACAGGGAGTACGCTTATCCCTCCTTGCCACCTTCCTCTATTCTATTTGGTACTTGGGTGAGGTGATGACACACCCAGGACTGTGAGGATGGGGGCAACATCCTTGTTAGCAGAGCCAGAGAGGAAATGAGTCCTTGGATAACACATGGTCCAGGGCTGCCATACCAGGAGCCATCTTCCCAAAGACTATATTATACACGAAAGAAAACAAATCACGGTCTTGTTCAAACCACCATCGTTTTGGGTCTCAGTTGTACACAGCTAAACTTACATTCTACTTAATATGCAGACAGAAAAAAATGACACAACGTGAGACAGAAAACAGAACTCGATCTTTAAAATGTTTTTTCTTCAAAATATAAAGTATTTTAAATATACAAAGAAAAATAGAAAGTAACCCATCATGCAGATTTCATAGAACCTATATCCTAAAATCAGAGACACTGGAGCAAAGAGTAATGTGCAGAGAAAAAGGGAGGTAAAGGAACCCCAAAATCTGTCACTTCTTTTTAATACTGTTATCTGCCAGGCACTGCTCAATAAAAGCAATACTGACAACTCCAGTCCCTGATAAGGACAAACCTCAAATGAGTGAAGGAGTCAGTCAGTCAATCAGAATGAATATTTCAGTATCTTAAAAAGTCCAAACTTTCTTGGATGGACAGTTACTGATTTTGAATATTTTATATTCTTTTGCTTTTTCCAAATTTTTTATCATTAGTATGTGTTCTTATATAATCAGGAAAAAAACAAGACAACTTAAAAAAGTTATTAGGGTTCCTTGGGGCAGCTGGGTGGCTCAGTCGGTTAAGCGTCTGACTCTTGATTTCAGCTCAGGTCATAATCTCATGGCTCATGAGGTAAGAGCCCCAAGTTGGGTCCTGTGCTGACAGTGCAGAGCCTGATTGGGATTCTCTCTCTCTCCCTCTCTCTCTGCCCGCACCCCCCCAAAAATAAACATTTAAAAAAAAAAAAAAAACATCCTCAGGGTGCCTGGGTAGCTCAGTTGGTTAAGCATCTGACTCTTGGTTTCCTTGGTTTCCGCTCAGGCCATGATGTCGCAGTTTGTAAGGTCGAGCCCTGCACTGGGCTCTGTCCTGGCAGAACAGAGCCTGCTTGGGATTCTCTCTCTCCCCTTCTCTCTCTGCCTCTCCCCCCTGCTTGTGCTCTCTCTCTCTCAAAATAAATAAATAAAACTTAAAAATAAAACAAAAAAAAACCCCTTGCTTTAAAAAAAATCCTTTAAATAAATAAAATTTATTTTAGAAAATGTCAGCATTCTTTATTTTTTTTAATGTTTATTTATTTTCAAGAGAGAGAGCGCAAGCGGGGAAGGAGCAGAGAGGGAGACACAGAATCCAAAGTAGGCTCTAGGCTCTGAGCTGTCAGCACAAAGCCCGATGTGGGGCCCAAACTCACGAAATGCGAGATCACGAACTGAGCTGAACTTGGACGCTTGACCAACTTGCCACCCAGGTACCCCTTTTAATTTTTTTTTTTAATGTTTTATTTATTTTCTGAGAGGAAGAACATAAGCAGGGTAGGAGCAGAGAGAGGGGGTACAAAGGATCTGAAGCAGGCTTTGTGCTGACAGGCTGACAGCAGCGAGCCTGATGTGGGGCTTGAACTCACCAACAATGAGATCATGACATGAGCTGAAATTGGATGCTCAACCAACTGAGCTACCCGGGTGCCCCGAAAATTAGGGTTCTTAACAACTTAAAGGACCAAGGAGTATTTTTAAGAGAGTCTTCAGAAAAGACCAAAGAGGGGCACCTGGGTGGCTCAGTTGGTTAAGCACTGGACTCTGGATTTTGGCTCAGGTCATGATCTCACAGCTGTGAGAGAGCCCCGAGTTGAGTTCCATATAGGGTGTGGAGACTGCTTAAGATTCTCTCTCCGCCCCCACCCCCGCATGCACGTTTCCTCTCTCTCTA